TGGTGGGCTGGAGAACTAAGTTTCAAAAATTTTTCCTCATTTTCAGCAATGTGCCGAAGTAAGAAATGGAAAACCTGATCGATGTTTTGATTTCAGAATTAGTAATAGAAAAGCAATCATTCCTGATTAAAACAAAACAAACCCGATCGAAAAAGCGTTTGTTTTGTTGAAGTTATGGGACTTTTACTCAAAGCACTGCTACACTCAGAATTTAATCATTATGACGCACTCGATAGAAACTTCCATAGTTCTACAGCCAATAATCATCATACAGAATATCAGTCGTACACATCAATTCCATTTTAGATGAACATTAATTTGGTATATAATAAATTTTTATATCATCTGTAGTTTCAGCTCTACCCCCCTGGAAAAATATTATTTCCAGCCGTGTACTATCGTATGTGAATATAACTATGTGAATACGCAGCGCACTAAATTGATGAGATGGAACATAAAAGTCAGATTATTGTTTAGAGGACGGTAAACAAAATATATGAACAAATAAAGAAGAACAATAATACCGAGTGATCTCGCTATTTTTTGCGTATGAACAGTCTCAAGTAACATAGAAAGCAGGAATCAAGGTCTTTTGATTTTCTATAAAAGAAAAGAAAAAAACGTTAGAAAATAAGATAATTTAGTGATGAATGAAGAATGATGAATTTTTGTGAATTATCACTTATATTCACTTTTTAAAGATATGAACATTGATACGTAGATTATTATGAACTTAAAATACTAATTTTTGAGAGTCTATTTTTGATCTGTAGTAGTACGATTTAGTTTCATGCTGATAAAAATAACGTACAATTTTTTTATACTCAAAATAATAACAACAATAGAAACATTAGAAATAACACTATCCTATATTTTATTCAGCGTGAGATCGATCATTATGTTTTAATTGAGTCAACAATCGAAACAAGCTTTTCAAGGACATATCATATATACATAAATAAAATATGATGGTTATCAATAGATTTTTATTTGATATCTGAAAACAACAATATGGAGAAGATAAAAGTTTGATGTTTACAATAGAAAGCAAGTGTTACGATACGTTTAACGATAAATGGAAGAATGAGAAAAGAGATAGAGACACAATTGCTAAGATAAAAGTTCAGAAGTGAAGAGGAGTAACGAATAAATACAGTATATAACTACTGTGACAAAACAAGATTCTTATACAGTTTAGATATTATTTTTGAATTTTCAACCTTTAATTGATATTTTTCTTCCTATTATTTTTTTCTGATAATAAAGTGAAATCACATCGAAAGTGATAAAATTCGTTTTTTTAATATTAATCTTAAAAATATATTGTTCTTTTTTAATTTCATTTATTTTTGTAAGAATATATTTCACAGTCTCTAAAACATACAGTAGAGATGTGCATATTTTCTCGTGATGATAGGGGTTATATGAAACTGTTAATAGTTGATATAATGAATTCAAATGATCGGATCCATTTGACAGGTAGAATCTACTCATGAAGTGAAGATATTTGACACCTCTCTTGAGATCCTTTTGTAGTATTAGAATTAGTCCTCGGTTACATGTAAATTAACTTGAAAAATGACAATATATACGTCAGAATTCTACGAGAATAAGATAGATAGGATAAAATAATAAATAACTATTCGATAGATATCTGTTGAATATATAGTGTCTCTAGAGAAGAAAGAGAGAGCGAGAGAAAGAGAAAAATCTTATTTCTCTCCTTCAGCACTCACATCAAACTATCTTCTAATCTAACAAAAATCATAGTTCGATGATGTGTGTCCTTATACACATATTCTCGTTTTTATCTTCTTATCGATATTTGTTTATGTACACACACATAATTATTCTTCTAAAGTATACAGACTTCTTCGTTAACACCAGCCAATAATGACTCGATACCATTATTTGTGACAATAATTATTCATTCATGTGTTTATATATTTGTATAGAAATGATAACAATTTACGTTTATTTTTCTATTTTTGAAAAAGACAAAAAAAATTTTATAATGAATTATCATCGATGTTTTTACATGTTACAATAACAAAAAGCTTTGTCTCATTAAAATGTTCTTATAAATTGAACAATCGTATTACAGTTTTAAACAATAATTTAATTTTCTCTTACTCACCACAATTGAAGTTAAATTTTAATATCTATGATGGAACTTATTTTCTTGTTTTAGATTAATATTAGTTAAATAGACATCGACTCTTCCTCTTCGATCATGTTTGGATCATATCGACTATTAATAATCATAAAGATAATCCTTTTTGAGCTTTTGGCTACAAGTACGTACTCAATAATAGTATTAAAATTTATAAAAAAAAGTATTGACAACTTTTAATTATAGTGTCGATTGAATCGCGTCGTCGTCGTCGTGTTCGTTCATCATTTGCCATTCATTATTCTATTATACCTGTTTCGTTAGACGATCGTTTTGCTATAATTAATTGTACAACAAAAACTCAAGTATCCTATGAAATGATTGACTGGTATTTCAAAAATCGTGTCATATGGCAACGTGGAAAAACTGTTTATAAACGTTATAAGAATCTTGTTTTGTCACAGTAGTTATATACTGTATTTATTCGTTACTCCTCTTCACTTCTGAACT